CCCTACTCGCGAGCGGTCATTTCTAACTGAATAAATAGTGTGTGAAAATAAAATCTCTTTTTTTAAAAAGACATCCGAAGGGTCCCGTATAACAGTACGAATATTTGCACCACAGATTACAAATACTATGGTTTTCACACATATGAGTGACCGGCATTAGTTGCGTGTCAAAATGTAAACAAACATTAATCTGTGTCTTTTGTTTTGGCAAAGTAAATCTTGATAAATTTACTTTATTTTTATTTCTATGCTGCACAATTCTATAATTCAGTTATGAAGAAATCCAGGGCACCCAATTTTACAAATGAAGAAATAATGCATTTGTTGAATTTAGTGGAAAAATACCCAATTATACAAAATAAAAGAACAGACGGAGCTACCACAAAAGAAAAACAAACGGCTTGGCAAAATTTAGCTAACGAATATAATTCCCAAACCAGATTCTTCCCTAGGTCTGCGGATAAGTTATTGTCGTGTTATAAAAATCAAAAAATCAGATTAAAGAAAATGCACTCGAATGAAAATATGCTCATCAAAGGTAAGGTTTATCCACTTAATTTAATATTCTTAAGTGTTCATAAACTTACATTTTTGAAAATCAATGTCGTTTATGCAAATTGAAACACAATTCCTGTTAATTAATTCTAAATGTTTATTTAGTTTTCTAATTAACTTTCGACGGCTGCATTTTGATTATCTTACAGTTAAGTGAAGTACTTATTTATTTTTGAATTTTTATTTGATAAGTCCTCATTAATTCATGTCTTTGTTCTAGCACCACTAGCGCTGAATGCTGAGGAAAAGCATGGGCAGTACTGGGACCAGGCAGCACAGGCAACAGATAAAAGCATTTTGGATTGCCAAAAATCCTTTGAGCATTCTGTGAAGGAGGAAGAAGAAGACACTTTACACAAAAAGGAGATTAATTGTACAGGTACAAGGATACTCTTATTAATTTTTAATTTATCTATTTTTATCTCCAGATTGTAGATCTGCTCGGTAGATAATTAATATCCTACTAATATTATAAATGTGTAAGTTTATATGTTGTTTTCAGAATAACACAAAACCTGAATGAAATTTCCTACACTTATGGTTATTACCTGGTTTGAGATATTGATTATTTTTTATCCTAGAAAAATGATATTTTCTTTAAGGGTTCCCAAATAACTAAAGTTAACAAGGAAGAGTGAGTTAAATGTAGAAATTAAATTAATTATTAGATATAGTATAAAGATTAAGGATATACCTTAAGTTTATTTTATTTTAATCATTTAACTGATTGATCCATAAATTAAAAGAAAATTATACTATGCCTCAATGCAGCGCGAACGAAATGGTGAGTCCGCTTCTGAGTTCGTACAGCCTGAAGTGTATTGTTGGCCTTTTCTTGATAACTAAATGGCGATTACCTAAATAACATTCACAACAAACTGTGATTTTTGAGAAAAAAATGTTTTTACAGTTTTACAAATGAAAAGTGTTGCCTAGCCATTTGTTATTTGATTTTGAACTATTTGTGTTCTTTATAAAAGCATCGAAGGCAAGGCAAGGTTATATCTTTAAAACACAGAATATACGCAATATACTTATATTGAATGCACATGCAGCGTGTTTGAATGTTCAATTGTGACTAAAGTGAATTATGGTCATGCACCACAATTTAAGCGGATCACTTTTGAGCCGCGAGTGTCGTATCTTCCCTCTTTGTTGTAATCTAAGAGTACAGTAAGTGTTAAATTGAAGCATGAAAAAATTCCACTCAGACCAGATTTGAAGCCATACCCTCCACTATCCGGGTGGATGCACTGACCATTATGCTACTGTGGCCCTTTTTTTTCTAGTAAAATTTTCAATCTAACAGTTAAATGCTTAAAATAAAATAAATATGTAACAATGAAATAATATTGTTTGTTTATAGGAGGAGATCCACCTCTAACCCAGTGCAGTGATGACTCTATATTTAACAAAGTGAAATCATTAAATGGTTCCTCTCTAGAGGGTCTCTATACCATTTATGATAGAGATGCAGATTTCATGAAGGAGCAGCATGAGTCCAATGAATCACCATTGCTACCAGTTGAAGTAGTTTACAATATTGATGAAATACCATCACATTCAAACAATAGTTAGTCTTTGTATTTATTTGTAAATGGATTCAATTGTCTTATTTGTATATTAATATAATCGTCACACGAATTATTTCAGGTTGCACACCAGATCAGAAAATCGATAGAAGGGAAGATTTGTGTGCGAATGACCTTCGAAAATTAAATGTTCGAAAAAGAAAAGTTGATTCAAACTTAGGGACATTAAAAACAGGTAAATACAAATGTTAGGTTAGGGTAAAAAAAAAGGTAAATTTAAAAAATCAAAAAACCCGACTGCTTAATTATACTTCAAATAAAAACTGAAAAGAAAAAAACAAGTCCAGTAGTCTATAATTCTGTTAATAAGGAACAAAGCTACTTTAACAGTCGGGACCCATTAGATATTCAAGAATACATAATATTTTTCAACAGTGGGTCCCGACTGTTAAAGTAGCTTTGTTCCTTATTAACAGAATTATAGACTACTGGACTTGTTTTTTTCTTTTCAGTTTTTATTTGAAGTATAATTAAGCAGTCGGGTTTTTTGATTTTTTAAATTTACCTTTTTTATTTCACACTTTTTAGTTAGTTAGTATTTTAAGACGGTATATACCGTAGTCTTGTTACTTCAGTAAGGGAATTAATATCGCGGGAATTATTAAGTACCTTAAGACAGTCTAAAAATGAATCTAATGATACCGCATACATATTTTTTTAAAGGGAAATTTAGAAAAAATATTATTATGTCTTTATCCCGTGGGACTTTTAGGATAAAATGTATCCTATGACACTCCCGTAATCAAGACAAATCTAACGATACCTCATACATCAAAATCCATCAAGCCGTTTAGGCTACAGGAGGTCACAAAGGAACAGACATACATACATACTTACATACACTCCCTAAACATTACCCTCCCTCTTTGGCAGTCGGGTAAAAAGCCTTTAAGAAAGTGATTCTGCATATATCTCAAGAAATAAAAGTAAGCTTGCTATGTAAATATTTTGTTGGGCTAGGTATCTTTAAACATTATATTCGTCAAAATTGGTTTAGTATTTTATGATTACCTGACTATCACGTCCATACCTAAATTGGAGTTTAGATATATTTTAACTGCAATATATAAAATCTAGCTAAATAAAAATATTATGTCAATATTAAATAACTGAATTTAAATTATTTAACTAAAAACTTCTTGCCCTTATTAATAAAGGAAGAATAAGCTTGGATTAGTTACTCCATGTTTTTGATGATGAATGGCATTTCAGTAATATGAACTAAACACAGCGCAGCTAGTCTGACCTTACTCCTTGTTTATTAATTGGAGGTTAAGGTTAAGGCCATTTAAGGTTTCGTCGATTAGACATTTAACAGACTCCAAAATAGGAACTCAATTGTCCGGCAAGTATAATATAGGTACTCATTATTTTTTTACAGGAAAGAAAAAACTAATCTGTCGCTCTTTTCAAGAGTTGGCAGAAGACAAAAAGACTTTGGTGAAAGCTCAAAAAACATTAGCCGAGTATCAAATAGAACACCAAAAATTGCTGATAGACCTAGCAAAGGAAAAATTAGAATTTGAAAAGACTAAAAACGAAATGGAGTTAACATTTCTTAAACAGAAATTCGAGTTAGAATTAGAATTATTAAGAAATAAAAGCAAGTGTGACTAGCTTCAAAATTTGTTTTATTTTCGTTGTGCCATCACAATATTGCTAAATTAATTATATTGTTGTTTATTAAAGTTCTTTCAATGTTGCCAGCTATATTTCTTATTGCAAAGCCAAGTCAGACAAATAGTACTTGACTTTTCGGATTCATAAGGTTCTTCTTCATCTTCAAGAAGTATCGCATCTTTTTGTAGAACAGCAATGTTAAGACCTGCTGTAGCAATAATAATTCCTGTAACCAAAAGTAATAATAACTTATTATATCTGATACCTAGTTAAAAAAAGAGTATAAAATTATTAGCTTTGCTGTGTGGCTGCTGTTGGGTTCTCGAATATGAGCTGAGCTACTGGAGGGTTCACGCAACATCCCTTCTCTATATCTGGCGCTCTATATTTTTTTTTTCTTATATTCTACCCCTTCATACGGCCAACCCTACACCATGCAAACCGACAACAATTTTTTTCCATGATAAGAAACGAACATTTAACATTATACAGACTGAAGATTTGGACCCGATGGTTAGTCATGGTCTTTTGTAGATTTTTTGCTGCCTTAGACAGTGGTAGGACTTCACAAGGTGCAAGGTTGCCCCCATTATGTTATTCTGCCACGCTCGAATAAACCCTGAAATCCCCGCTTGGGCAACCCTACTATTACACTGGCGTATTAATAGAAATGTAGCCCTTTCGATTTCGATCACCACCTGGTGAACGAAAACATTCCTTTATTCCCAGTCATCCCCGCGTGGATTGCCACGGGGAACAATAGGCACAGGTTATTATATTTTTAAGCAATTTTAACTGCTCGGTTAGTACAATATCTTGTGAAAATATTTACAGGTTTCAGACAAGATTCTAACCCACCCAGATTGCGGGTATAGAATAGTCCAAAAAAAAAATATATACCTACGAGCAGTACAGAAGGCCTATTTCGCCAACTGTTTATGACAGATAGAAATGATAATCACCGAGCTATTTAGTGATCTACTACTGCTTAATTATAACGCCACTAAGATACTTATTCTGAAAAGCATCGATGGTTATGCAATTTTCTCTTCAGTTGCATACTGTAAATGTCAAAAAAGTTTGCGAATTAATCTGTATTTTTAATCTGCGAAAAAGGTCTGACGAAAGTAACTCCACAACTATACAAAAAGATGGTTACAAAAGCGCGGTCTCTTTATTTTGTGACCAAAAATATTTGCTTCCATGTTTCTCACTGTCTGCTTTTGTTGCCAGGGCATCCTATCGCCTAAGATTGAAATAGCAACTAAAGTCCGCATAGACGAGGTATGGGAGCAGCCTTGCAATCTGAAACCCTTGCGGGCGACCTCCTGCCACTGCAGTCCACGGGACACAGACGGTTCCCGGCAGAAGCAAGTCTGCCATTCTGCGCAGTATCACAGGTAAATTTATACTAATATTATAAAGGGGTAAAGATTTTTTTTTTCGAGTGTGTATGCTGTTGGTTGTAGATGACCTTTACAGCGTCACCGCGTTTGGGGACTGCGAGACCCTAAGTTGACCTCAAGCCGAGAATTGACGAGTGGCTCTAGAGGTATTCCAGTCGGATGGCATCTCTCCACGGGGGGAGTCTCCTCTCCGTCTGGCCTCTAGACCACTCGAACCTGAGGGGTCGGCGCAACTAGCGGGCGTCTCTGAGACTCTGACCTCGCCTCTATTTAGCCGTTGTCGTGGGGGGAAGAGATAAAGTTTGTGTGGTTGCAGGTAGGGGATAATCTCAGGACCTACTGAACCAATTTTGAAAATTCTTTTACCAGTATAAAGCCATGTTATTTGCGAGTGTAGGCTAGGCTATATATAAACCAGAAAAATTATAAATATTAGACTTAAACGTGGAAGGCCGCGGGCGGCCACTAGAATTATATAATACTTACAACCTTGCAACCGCGAATTTGCGTGGATTAATTGGTTTTACATACAAATTTCCACCCTTAAAGGATGATTCTGGGGTAAAACACTATCCAATGTTCTTCCCCGGGCGGGACTCGAAAGTGTCTCTGTACCAAATTTTATCTAAATCGGTTCAGCAGTTTAAGCGTGAAGAGGTAAGAGACAGACAAACACACTTTCGCATTTGTAATTATATTAGTATTTTATTAGAATGGATGGATAAATGCTCGTATTTGCCCTTAAAGAGAACTTTTGAATAGGCAATACCTTGAAAACTGGCGAATAATCCACCACGGAGGTACTATATAGATTAGAGGTTTTGTTGAGGAGGAGTAGATTAGGTAGATTTTAGCGTAGAAGGAATCGAGGCATTTGATATTGCTTCTTGCTAATGAGTGGTTTTTATTAAAACTGGGCCGCCTTGTTCAAACATTGTAAAAACTGGTCACGAAGTCATAAAAGGCTTTATTTTTGTTTATGTATTTGCTTTGGTGGCCGCACTTGCGTGTTCCGTACGTTCCACCTGCTTTTGTGCTGTAATCTGAGATTGAGCTTTTCTCAGAAAAAACAAGGTATTTAATATTCTCTGATATTCGTTCAGGAACAAGTGTAGTAAGCGAGCGCCTTCCGTGTCCCGCGCGAGATCCCGGTCCCGGTCGCAGGGCTCCACTAAATCGTGCTGCAGTCTCACCCCGGAACCAGCCAAGACAATGTGCGGATGCGCCAAGTAAGTTAACCACTTCACAGCTATTTCGTTTTGTTTCTAATTCTTTTTGATTCAACACTTTTTAGTTAGTACAAGTCATATGGCGATCATATGCAAAGTTTTTTTCTAATTTCATCCCCACCCTACTTGATGTTAAGTGACGGTGGAGGTCAGATGCGAAGATAGCTGGTGCATCAGCAGTTCTACTCACTACACCTGCCCTCCTCACTCTTGCCGTCCTGAAAGTTGCTTCTTAACGCTTCTTTTAAAGAACACTATCCCTTACATCCAAAAATCGCAAGGCATTTGGCTAACCTGACTCCATCCGAATTCCATTCCCTTTAACTCCACCCAAACCCATCGCAAGGCTTAAGACTAGCCATCTTCCAGACTGCCTTTTACTTTTTTTTAACACACACCAATTTGCCTAGCCCCAAAGTAAGCACTGTAAGGCTTGTGTTATGGGATGCTAGGGTAACAGGTAGAATAAATATACAGTACATATATAAATATATTTATAAAGAAATATATATTAAACATCGATGACTGGAGTACAAATACTCGTATTCTCTCGCTTAGGGGATCTGTCCCTAAATTTAGGGACTAGAAGTGTAAAAAGGGACATTTTTAGGGGCAAGAAATTTTGAGGGATTTTTTAGGGGCTTCAAAGAAAATCGAAAAGACGAAAACAAAAAGCGTGTTTTATGCGCAGAATGGAACGCAGTACGTATGGCATGGAATCTTCAAAGTAAAAAAATTTTAGGGCCATAATGATGAAGTAATGAGTACATATATTCACAACACAAACCTCTGCCCCCACCGGGATTCGAACCCGGGACCTCTCGAGTAGGTGACACCATGAAACTCGGCGTACAAACCACTCGGCTACGGAGGTCGTCGCTTTCCGCCGCTTTCCCTCGCGTAACTTCACTCAAACCTATTTCACATTACCCCCTATATTCCTAGGCATTCCTCCCCGAGTCCCAAAAAGTCCCGGGAGTCTGTACCCCAATCCCGCGGACGTGTACCGCGCCGTAACTGCGAATACAATGTTTACAACGTGGAGACCGTTGTAACTGGCAAACGACCCAGTAGTGATGCTAGCAGCGAGTTGAGTGACGAAGAAGAATACACAAGGTTATATTTATGGATATTTTAAGCATTTAACTGCTAGATGTTTAAATCTAAAGAAAATTTTACTAGAAAAAAATCCACGCGAACCAGGCAGCAGACGGGACTCGAACCCGCACCTTTCGCTATCCTGGCGAATGCACTAACCATTATGCTACCGCGGCCCTGACGGCCGTGTCAAATGTTCTCTAGCCTAAGGCTGCAATGCAGCGCCATCTCTTCGCACTGTAGGTAACCCACAATGTCATATACAAGGTTCCAAAACTCCTATTATGGTAGTTATAGGTAACTACCCTATAGGTGTTAGCCGCGGTTTATTATGGAAATTGTCCCGCAGTAAAACGTAGCCTATGTGTTAATCCAGGATGTCAGCTAACTCTATACCAAATTTTGTTAAAATCGCTCCAGCCGTTTAGACGTGAAGTAGTAACAAACATACACACTCACAAACTTTCGCCTTTATAATATAAGTGATATTTTGGTATTGGAAATCGCCTCATGCTTCTCCTAACACCTTATTGCGCTGTAATTAGCGCCTCATTTTTCAATTAGTTCTACCGTTACAAGCTTTCGAGCTGCGTGACGATAGACGCTAGCTAGACGATAGCTTGTCTGACGGTTTTTGACACACATCAAATGGACTTGTCCCTGTAGCATAAGTAAAACAATTTATATTAAATAATGTTTTTATCGCATTCAACTGTCAAATTCCATAGTAATGTGACAATTGATCGTTATAAAACTCCCTTGTGAATATGTTGTAGTTGGCCACATATATGTATGTTTTCTTTTGATAAAGGCGTCGCTATGTATCTAGGATACAATACCCCTAGCACGAACCAATATCGAATTCGTATCGTTTGCGACTCCGAACTGTTATTGTCAAATGTGTACTGATTTTTAGTTCTCGTTACGTAATTTGTGCCGCTGCTGTTCAAGTTTCCATACAAAATTTGACATTGACATTTCGGTTTGCAAACTATTCGAATTCGATAATGGTTCGTGCTAGGGGTACTGCTCTACCTGCTTACCTTTATCTTCTTGTCACCTACAAAATAAACAACACCAAGTCCATCGATTGTATTATTTGGCTATAGCTAATTTCCATTGTTGCTGGCTATAAATCCCCAACATTATTTAGGACCATATCGCCGTGCTCATGCTAAGGGGGTTGGGGTCGATAAATTTGTATGTGCAGTCCCTGTAGCATGAGCACCTCAATTTACGTAATATTACGTTATAATTTTACAAGCAAACAAGTGAACCAAATGTTCACCAAAACCGGATTTAAAAAAAAATGTATTTAATTAATTGAGAACTTCAGAGATTTTGTGTGGTTTCGTTTGAAATTCGTGATTTCTCGAAAACCGGAAGTGCTACGTTACTCAAATCCGGTTTGTAGTCTTATCAGACTATTCTTAACTTATAACTTAAATATTCTCTTTATCTATCTCTTACGGTTTGGCCGCTGAAACAGCACCACAGACAGACGGACGGACGGACTTGTCTAATATATAAGAGATTTTTAAAGCATGTAACTGCTTGATGTTTAAATCTAAAGAAATTATAACTAGAAAAAAATCCACGCGGACTAGGCAGCAGACGGGACTCGAACCCGCACCCTTCGCAATCCGGGCGAATGCACTGACCAATTATGCTACCGCGGCCCTCACGGACCGCGTCGAAATTCCTCTAGCCATTCTTAAGCTGCAAGGCAGTGCCATCTCTTCGCATTGTAGGTAACCCACAATTTCAAATGAATGCTTTTACAAGTATTAAACATTTGAAAGAAGAAATAGCAAGTATAGTTATAATTTTTATTTTTAAAGCATGTAACTGCTTGATGTTTAAATCCAAAGTTATAGATTTAAACAGTTATATTACGTTTTTTATCGCGTTTAACTGTTAAACGCCAGAGTTATTTGACAATAGAGTGTGATAAAAACGAGTTATTTAAATATCATATCGCGGTGCTCATGCTAGGGGGCCGGGTGAAGGAACGCACAACCAATCATTGAGAGCTAAAAATTGGACGCTTAGCGCGATAAGTAGTCGTAATTCGTGAAGCTCGTCGCGCAGCTGTGGAAGAAGCATTACAAGTGGAGGCAAGCTATTACGTACTTCGCATCGGTGTTCGATTTTGCCTATTCGTTTTATTCGCCTGACCATGCTTTAATGTGAAGCGACTCTTTGAAACCGACACAAAAACCGGAGGAGTTTTCAATTCGTCGGAATCGTTTTATGATTACTCGATGACGGCTGGACTGTTTCGGAATATTTTGTTATCGTCGCCCCATGGTATTAAGGTCCAGATCTGAAGTGAAACCCTGGAGAAATAGGGGGAACTTTAAAACAATTTTAGGTGCAATGAATAGCAATCATATATAATTTCTATTTTTTAACTATTAAAAGAGTTTGTTTACCAATTAAGAAAAATAATTTATTATAAATACTGGATTATTTTCCCAGGTCCTTTGATGGATTGGAGAAGTATAAAACTAATCCAGTCGTACTACCAGAAGAGGACAGAATACATAAATCGTTGCTAGAGAGCCGTTACATAGACCAGGAGCCAATCTTCGAGAGTAAACTGAATGAGAGAGCAGTAAAGAGACATCATTTCCAAACCAAATTTCAACCTTGCGTGTGTGAAATATGTAAAAAATATCATGAATTGTTCCACGCTAATGACTCACGTATTTAGACTGATTATGTAAATTTAAAGCCCCAATTCATTGATTGTTAGTAAAAGAATTATATTTTTCATACAAGTTACTAAATCTGCTTGTCTTAAAAATAGAATTTTGGAAAATGAACTTTATAATAAACTACTCAGAATATACAAGTACATCAAGATGATTAGTGTAAACTTTTTTTGTTTTGCAAAAATGTTTGTATAATGTTTGTATTAAATAATTGTGTAAAAATACTTTCGAGGGAGATTACTTCTAATGTACTTTATAAGATGTGTTTGTTTTTGAAAGCATAAACAAATATGTGATGGGCAAGTTATAAAACTTTTACTAATTTGTTATTCTACTTATAGACTCTACCTCATGAATGGGTTAAGATGATAAATATAGAATTTTTGTAATTATTTTAAATTATGCTGATCTAATTGTGCATTACGTAGCTTTTTATAGAAAAAATATATTATAATCATAATTTATTTTGTTACTAATTCAAGAAGTGTGTTCATATTTAATTTAATGTTATTTAAATCATCTTAAATTATTTGTTAGATAATTATTTGTTGAAATTATGAAATAAAGACATTTTGCATTAGTTAAGGAGTTTTATTGGTTATCATTATTACTACTTGACACATGTATTCTGAAATTAAGGTAACTTAACAATATTTTTTTATATTAAGTGATATGGCTCCACTTTTATAATTAAAACTTAAAAACAAACTAATGTGACAGTGGCATTTTATAATGTAACAATTTGAAACAGTATGACTGTTCATAAATAATATTTGATATGATATTAGGCACATTGTTAATCGAAAAGTAGTACATATAATATTTAAAATCTTGTATTCGCCAAAAGGGGTCATATTTTCTCAACATTTTTAACGATAGATTGGTATCGATTCTGACATGATTCCTTAGACTTAAACTTGAATTTGACAACAGTGTATCCTTGTCATTCTCTATACAGACTGAAAAGGAGAGACTGACGTTAAATTAATTTTTAGAATAGGAAATTTTCGAATTTTAAATTTAGATAATCATGCCAGAATCGACACCATTTAAAACATAAATTCGGTTTTACATTATATTTATTTACAAGTTCATAACTACCTGTATAAGAGCATATATGTTTATCTATTATATCGCTCACTTTTATAATTTTCTTCTAAAGAAAGACAGAAAAGAAAGCGAAGGGTGAAGAGCATTCAATAGTCATCACATTTCCATAATAAAATGCGGAGAAGAATAGAGTCATCTTAAAATTAACTTGTGATTTAATGTACCTACATAATAATTATATTTATATCTTCTGAAGTAAAGTATAATCACCAATTTTTATTATCCTTTATAAGTAAACCGCTTAACTGAGTCCTCTCCTGCGGGGTAAAGGGTGTGGGGGTGGACGAGAATGGAGACCGTGAGAGGTGCGGGCGGCAGGCGTCCCCACGACAACGGCTAACTAGAGCAGAGGTTCGAGTGTCAGAGACAACCTCTAGTTGAGCCGACCCCCTCAGGTTCGTGGTCTAGAGGCACCAGACGGAGAGGAGACTCCCCCCGTGGAATACCTCCAGACGCACTCTCCAATTCTCGGGGCAAGGGGACCTCACCCCTTAGCATCTCGCCGTCCCCAAACCCGGTGACGCTGTGAAGGTCATCTGCGACCAACAGCATACACACTAAAAAAATGTGGCAGGTGCTTGTAAGTTTGACAAGAATATGCCTGCTGCCCGCACCTCGCACGGTCCCCATTCTCGTCCTTCCCCACACCCTTTACCCCGCAGGCGAGGACTCAGTTAAGCGGTCTACCTATAGTAGAATGTGTTTTTTGAATAAATGCCTAAAATTAAATAAACTAAATATACGTGAACGGAAGACACTACATAGTCAGCCTTACATTCCAATAAACTTATATTTTATAATAAACATTTTGTACATTCGTAACTTAGATCAATCAATATTTTACCATTTTTTTAAGGTTAACAACATTTATATCCAAAATATATATCTGAACAGTACCCAATCATACAAAAATTTCAAGTTTATTTTTAGTAAAACTCTGAGAACAGTAACTTATTTCAGAATCTCTTCTTAGTACCTGTTTTAATGATATTTAACATTGGCATTGAAGTCGTACCTGACTTTACCAACAACCACATTATCTGTGTACACACGTTAAGATACCCAATGAAGACACACGAGTTCATTTCGTATCGAAACCTCACATTTTTGTACTCACTTTTTTCCCCAAAAATTGTCGAACCAAAAACTTTAGCTAAACCAGAGCCTTAACTTGCTTTTTGCAATCGATTTACATATATCCAATAATTTGAACACATTTTTTTATTCTTGAACACTTAGTTTATCAGATGTCTCGTCAAGGCGTATTCATTGTGACTTTGTGACCTTTCAAGGAAGCCCTGTGCTTTCTTCTAGCGTATTTTGTGCAGTCTAGAACGAAGGCGAATATTCCAATGATAGCAAACACTGCGTAGAAGATGGCTAGAGCTATAAGTACAGTTTCATCGGTCCATTCCCATAGCTTGTCGGTTCTAAGGTATTCGAAGTTGGATAACACTTGCGTGCCGTTCGGCGGTGGGCAGGGAGACTGCACTATTATATCTTGATAAGGTCTCTGTAAGTAAATATAAGAGGAAATTAGATTAAATTATTTAGTGGTTTAATTAGAGCCAATATTTACAGAAGGTCAAACCTTCTTGGGGCTTGTGTTAAAGAAGAGTATATATTATACTATATGAGCTTTCCTTTTCACTTCTTTGAAGTGGTTGGTAACCATTTTACCAAGCTTTCCTCAACAAATTTAATCATTTTACCGACATAACTCCAGCCCCCCTAGCAATGAGCACCGCGATACGTTAAATAACAAGTTTTTATCACGCATTGTCAAATTACTAGGGAATTTGACAGTTAGACGCGATAAATTCGTGACATAATGTAAATTGTAGTGCTCATGCTACGGGGACTGACTGCTCTATTTACCTATTAGTATCCAAGGCCGTACTATATTTTATTCGACTGATGCGCATTACCCTTAGTACGAGATGGAGCTCACGAAAACTATGATAGTTTTCGTAATTGTAAATTATGTTTCTGTCCATTTTGGTGAAAAGTAACTAAATATCTTTAAATTTGAGAAGACGAAAATGATTTAATGATAGAAGTTAAACACTTTTTATTTGTATTGTTACGAAAACAATAAAACCAGTACCCTTAGTACGAGTGCGAGCTCACGAAAACTATCATTGTAAAACTTATACTAAGGGTACATGTCTCGCTCAAAAATATAGGAATTTAGGTCTTAGGTCAAAGCACGAACTTTGACAGTTCCGTAACCGTATCGCATCTTCAAAGTTTCTTTGAAAACTGAGCAGCGTTCCTACCGGACGTAAGAACAAACTGGCTCCGTCCATACAAAATTTGACGACAGCGACATCCAAGTTCATGCTTGGCACTCTACTTCCTTGCTAATGCTATTATTGAGGTCGATTATGCTCAACTCTTTAATGATCTAGTACTCTTTGATCGTAAGCAGTCTGGCCCAGATATATGGGCCTCCACTTCTGCGATGTCCGGTCTCCGCACCTCTAAATCCGGCCCTGGGCGTCAATCGCCTAACGGGAATGATATGGCTATCGCTATTACATACCCTTTCGTTTTGTTATTTCTGACCGCCGAATTTTTTCAAACACCTCATGCTCATTTGCTCTAATATTTTTATAACCAAAAAATATTATATAATTATAAAAAAAAATGAGTGCAAGGCATTTGAAATCTTTCGGTGGTCAGAATTAACAAATTGAAATCTTAAGCGATAGCCATAGCAAACCCATTAGGCGATTAGCCCCCCGGTTTCGCACGTACCTACTGCGGTAGATTGAAATGGTGCAGTATCGCATAACAAAGTTTACACTTCTCACCAGTAACTCACCTGTTTATTAGTACACCTTATCTCCTTGCTAATGCTGTTCCTAAGCGCAGTCTCGCTCAACTCCTTATTGAGTAGTTCCGGCAGCAGCCACCTAGATGGCGCCACGTATTCAATCCACCGTACGTATTGCGGTAAATCGGCCTGGTGAAGCATCGCGCCGTTCACTAGAGTGGCGAGCAGTATGCAGAAACCAGCGAATATTGTTGATGTCTTTTCCATAGGCACGAGGAATATCAGCGCTCGACACATCATCTGTATGCTGATCAGGTATAGCACCATGTATCCTGCAATAGATGGTGATTTTAGTTTCATGTCATTTCATAGAACAGCGCTGCGACGGGAGACCCGTCGCACGCAGGGCTGTTCTATGAAATATCAAAAAACTGCCTCACACAGCGCTACTGTATGAAATAACATGAAACTGCACGCGTAGCGGACGTATCAATCCGCTCCGTGTTCCCGTTTAACGCAGCGCACGCCCTAAGATGTAGAAAGTTTATTTTACTTATTTATTTATTTGGGATACCAACAGCCATCTATCAATGCGCTCCGTGTTCCCTATTAACGCAGCGCACGCCCTAAGATGTAGAAAGTTTATTTTATTTATTTATTTATTTGGGATACCAACAGCCATCTATTAAGTTTTACATTTTTTGGTTTACAGTTACATGTAAGACCAATAACAGTCACTCACTATTATTTTTATTAACAAAATGAAAATTTAAAAATTTAAGTATTGGTTATAAAACATTTGCATACATACTGATTACTGTTTCAATTGTTTATAGTTTGAGTAAACAATTTGCCAAAGGTCTTTATACCACAATCCTATCACTGTGATTACATTTATTTTACGAATCTATATTGATGAATTTAATAATGAGCTAATAATATTTGATTTTAATATTTTTTTTTTTTGAGTTAATGAATAGGTCCACATGTGAGAACTTTCTATTATAAGTGCTCAGAATTCTAGTCAAAACACTATTCTGTCCGTAATTGACGGAATGGGATGGTAAACTAAAAAAAGAAGTTGGTGATGCATATCTATAACTATGCAGATTATGATGATCGAAGTTGAAATTACGGCAAACGCAGACGATGTACTTTTTGTACGACTGATTATTATTGTCGGGCATGTGTGTTATAGGGCATTTTAAAAAGGGAAATATTAATTTATGTAGAAAAAGCGTTAAACTAGCTTGTCCCACTTGCGCTACCAGGGTTTCACTCACGCGCACGTTGTCTGACCACATTCCCCGTGTAGTCATGAGGTTCAAGCATGAATTTTAGCAGGTCCGTAATCGTAACCTCATCGTAAAAAAATGTATGAAAGGAGCCAGTTTGTTTTTACGCCCGGTAGGGGCGCTGCTTAGTTTTCATAGATACTTTGTCGAAGCGATCCGATTACGGAGCTGTCAAATTTCGTGCTTGGGCCTCTGTAACTTTAGGTACTGGGATAAACATCACACCACCAATAAGATTTTGTTATTTTACCGTTATGAGTCATTGTTGTTTATTTAACCGTTACTACGAAATACAATAAACGTTGAATGAAAGTTATCTTTGGTTTGAGTCTTATAATAATTGGTAGGATGGAACTCAAGAGTCATACCATAGTCACCCAGTTACTCCGTGATCATGGCGCTTGCAACAGTGTCAAAATATCGGAGACTCACAAAAAAGCCCCTGTTCCAATATCAAAACCATTATTTAAAAAAAGGACCAGGAGAACAATACATAATAGTAGGTTCTGGTAATGAAAATGGTTAAAAGAAAGAAGATTTGTTTGTCATTTGGAAAAAATGCAATTATAATTTCTTTTTCTCTTAAGACAATAAAGCTACTGATGATTATCAATACTGATGTCTATCAATTACGAGGTCTATGTTTCACACATTTTGATAAAGTAAAACTCATGGGAAAAACAACGAACACCAGCGAAGTCTTACTATCAGTAAGTCTATTGGGACGGAAATTCCCAGTAGTCCAACTGGTAAGACTACTGGGAACAGGGGCAAAAAACAACATACATGGTCGCAATCCCGCTAATAACTATAATGTTAATGACCATGAAAGTTTAAAACAATATATAATTGTTAGGAGTTGTTAGCTTACCTAAATAAATATAAAACCCGTCAAACGACGCCTGTGATTGCGCGTAGAGCCCCGACATTGCGTAACTGGGTACAAGGAACGCTAACCACGTTACCACACCAGACCACAACTCCAGGAATTGCTGGGGAATTAGAAACACAATATTTTTTATTTAGTTTTTAAGACTGGCTTGCGCAGACGAGGGACTTTTGTCTGCGGATTTTTTTGTCCGCCAAAATAGATCACCCACAACTGCATCGGGGTAACTTATACGATGTTTTAAAAATACCACGTGCAAAAGTCCCCTGAAGGTACAGAGAGACAGGACAAAAGTACAGGAGTGTCTTCTCGTTTTCCGTAAACTTCATGTTAATTACAAGACAAAGTAATCTTTACTTCTGTATGTGAGTATCTTTACTTCCGTGCGCTTCTTTAAATGCGCGGTCAACAAATTAATGATCGCATACCGTGTGCGTTGAGTCCGTGACAAATAGGGACTTTTGTCTTCCAAGGACAAAACTCCCTCGTCTGCGCAGGTTATAAAATAGATGTTCGAATCCTTGTGCAAATGTTTGTGTGACGAGTACGAGCTTTTGTACCTGGTTGTTAATTATGTATTTCTATTCAAAAAAATCGATCCCTTTTTATCCCATAACACAAGTCTAAGGACCTACGCTGCGTTATGCGGGAGCACGGAGCGAATGTAACGCAGCGCAGGCCGTCACAGTGATCTCTTTCTTGGGCTAGGCTAAATGTTGTATCGAAAAATAATACCGTTGCTATCATTATTCAACCATATGACTCCCATTGCTGAGCATATAGGCATCCCCCAAGGATCTCCACATAGATCGGTCCCGAGCTGTCCGTATTCAGTGGCTTGCCATGACCTTCAATAGATCGTTGGTCCACCACCATGGTGGTGGGCCTACACACTAATCGTTGTCTGCTGCGTAGTCGCTGCTCGAGAACATTTCCGCTCCAACGTTCATTGATTCTCCTTACTATGTGACCGTTACTGTTATGATGGGAAAAGGAGAGAATAGGTAAAGGCAAAGGGGAGGAGCTCAATGGCGCAAATGTTTAGAACGTTCAGCTACGATTGTTGAAGTTAAACAACTTTCGCAGTGGTCGGTTATTGGATGGGTGACGAAAAATTTACTATCTGGAGTTCCTCCGTGCTTCGGAAGGCACGTTAAGCCGCTAGTGCCGGCAGCATATGCAGATTTTGGCACCCACCAACCCGCACTGGACCTGCGTGGTGGGTCATGGCTCAATCTTCCTGTTTCATCTAAAGAGAAAGCCTGTAGCCAGCAGTTGGGACATTAGTAAACTGATAATGAGACACGGCTTTTGCCAAAGTACCGGTGCACAGGTTGATGATTATGATGTAAGCACTCACGTCGAACAGTATGAAGACGGTCCGGGAGTACAGGCCGGCGGATATGTCTCGCTCCACGTGCCGCCTTATAGAGCTAGCCTCGCGAGCTCCAACCCAGATCAGCAGCGGCCACAGCGTTATACAGCACACCGTGTAGTGGAACCCCACCCGGTCGTTTTGGGTCAGCTAAAAACAATTTTTGTTCCTTTATTACCGTTGGTAAATGCGTTCATAAAAGCTATTTGGTAAGGTGTAGGCGATGTGCAATGGTGTCGCCAGCCGCCAGGGACCACTGTCGTGTAATTTATAGGATGCAGTGATATACGTCGTAAGCATAGTAGTCCCTGCATTGTCCCGGAAAACAAAGAACGCTGTAAATCGTTTGTTCCCCCAACAGCGCAAAATAATTCAGCAACAATAAATTATAAAAAAAAATGTAGAAAAAGAAAAGCATGATGACAAAACAACAGAACCTATTTGTTTGAGAATCTATAATAAAGTCTGTCATTTTGTCAAAAGTATTTTAAATAATAAGTGATTACAAAATATTTTTGCAAGTATTAGAAGAAAGGTAGCATGTTGAACTTTATTCCCGGTCAAATATCTGGCGCGTCAAATATCCCCCTATTTGTTTGAGAATCTATAATAAAGTCTGTCATTTTGTCAAAAGTATTTTAAATAATAAGTGATTACAAAATATTTTTGCAAGTAGTAGAAGAAAGGTAGCATGTTGGACTTTATTCCCGGTCAAATATCTGGCGTGTCAAATATCCCCCGCGGGGATTGCCACCGGAGGTAGATAAGAATAAAGTAATTACCGTGCCGGCTGGGAATAAAAGCATATTGGAGTCCTGGCCCTGACTCGTAGTCCCACCTGATTGATATTTAGTACCTCATATTTTAGTACAGTACTCACTTTAGCGTCAGTGGTGGGCAGATCCCAGAAAATGGTGCCGGTGATGAGGGACATGATGACCGCCAGCAGCACTCTCATCACTACGTTCGATAGCGTCGTCATCTGAGTGAACACTAAACTTTTCCTGTAACGAAGAACAATTGAAATATGTTAGGATTCGCGCAAACTAAATTTGAAAACCGAACACTACTCTTGTGTGTTTAAATTAGATTTTATAATATCATTAAAACTTGCTGCATCTTGGCGTGGTAATTCGTAGCAAATACCATAAATGGGTTATGTGAGCTTATCGTCTTATAAAGTATTACTTAGTATAGCGATGCGCTGTTTTCCGAAACTCTACATTTTGTGCCTCTTTGCGTGAGAAATAGTATCATGCCATCCCAGCTCCTCCATGAAGCCCAGCAGTGCACGGATGTTACTGCAGGCTTCTACTAATTGCAAGCATGTAAGCTTCATTGCCGATTCTCGCCACTACCTCTCACTAAGATAAGTAAAGTTAAAGGAGATCCTAAAGTCAATAGTCAAAGAGGAAAGCAACATGATGCAATAATGTAAAGACACATCGCTCCTGACGTTGCTCCGACAGTGTTTTGACTCCAGCTTCAGTAGCAGCGACACGGGCGGCGGGGGCTGGATGAACGACTGGGCTCAATCTATGAGCGCGGCGGGGGGCGCGGGGAGGGGCACGGGGGACGGGGGCTCATTGAACGACTGCAGCGGCGACACTAGATGGATACATTGACGCGGGCTTACTCTATAAGCGCGGCGGCCTGGCGCGTGCGGGTAGAGGCACGCGGGGCGGGGGCTCATTGAACGACTGCAGCAGCGACACTAGATGGATACATTGACGGGGGCTTACTCTATAAGCGCGGCGGCCTGGCGCGCGTGGGTACAGGCACGCGGGGCGGGGGCTCATTGAACCACCGCAGCAGCGACACTAGATGGATACATTGACGCGGGCTTACTCTATAAGCGCGGCGGCCTGGCGCGTGCGGGTAGAGGCACGCGGGGCGGGGGCTCATTGAACGACTGCAGCAGCGACACTAGATGGATACATTGACGCGGGCTTACTCTATAAGCGCGGCGGCCTGGCGCGCGTGGGTAGAGGCACGCGGGGCGGGGGCTCATTGAACCACCGCAGCAGCGACACTAGATGGATACATTGACGCGGGCTTACTCTATAAGCGCGGCGGCCTGGCGCGTGCGGGTAGAGGCACGCGGGGCGGGGGCTCATTGAACGACTGCAGCAGCGACACTAGATGGATACATTGACGCGGGCTTACTCTATAAGCGCGGCGGCCTGGCGCGCGTGGGTAGAGGCACGCGGGGCGGGGGCTCATTGAACCACCGCAGCAGCGACACTAGATGGATACATTGACGCGGGCTTACTCTATAAGCGCGGCGGCCTGGCGCGTGCGGGTAGAGGCACGCGGGGCGGGGGCTCATTGAACGACTGCAGCAGCGACACTAGATGGATACATTGACGCGGGCTTACTCTATAAGCGCGGCGGCCTGGCGCGCGTGGGTAGAGGCACGCGGGGCGGGGGCTCATTGAACCACTGCAGCAGCGACACTAGATGGATACATTGACGCGGGCTTACTCTATAAGGGCGGCGGCCTGGCGCACGGCCGAGGGGGGCGCGGCGGGCGCTGGTAGAGGCACGGGGGGCGGGGGCTCGGGCGGGGCGTGTGCGCCCGCGAATACTCCCGCCAGCGCCTCGATGCGCCCCGACGACTCCAGCATCGCCGCCGCCGATAAGTCGTCCAGCGTCACTAGGTCCACTGGAACACACATTATTATAAGTCTTTTAACGTCTCCGCTGTGGAACGCAACCCGTGGCTGAAATTCCTCTACTACTGCAGCTACCTTTCTGTGTTCTGTGGTAGCAATATTGAGCTTGCCATCACGCTCATCTTATATTTGCCGCAGGTACCTATTAATACTACATTCTGGATAACCATCATCATTCATCATCATGTCAATAAATTATTCATCTTGCATTATACATTGATTGAAAATACGACTTACGATAGTAATCTGAGGGATTCTTAAATGAAGGACTCGGATAGTCAATTGAAGTAAAATATGGCAACATGTCTCTCCTATATCCGCTGAACATTGTCCTGGCAGCCGAAATAAGCACCACCTGGGTTCAAAAACAAACATCATTGATTAGTTATTATCACCATCATCATGATCATAGCAATCCGTTATGTTTATTGACAGATAAATCTTCGCAAGTACCACCTGCTAATAATTTGCTGGATAATGTAAAAAGTTAAGTTACCTACAAGATTTAACACTAGGCCGAGATAATAATTATGGAAATATCCCAATTTGATTTAACAGCGCTCATGGAAATGCTTATTGTGGAAAGGCAATCAGACGGATTGACAGACGAGAGTTTAAAGTAAGTAATACGGCTCCGTCGGTTTTCTTTAGGTAGGGAACCCTAAAACTTCTTCGTCGTTATTTACTCATGGCTGAGGGTCGTGACATTTCAGGACAGCACATTCCACCAGTGATCTCCAGGCCGTTCTGTGTTCTGCAAGGCCTGCAAGTTGCCCTTCACGGTTTCCTCACAACCATGTCTATCCACAGGGATGGAGATCTGCCCCTACTCCGTTTGCCTTCCACTAAAACTGCAAAGTCTTAAAATCACATTCATATGGTCCATTTTATTAAAGTTGTTTCCTCAACTTACCTTGGTCAGCATGGCAAATATTTCATAAGTGGGTGGGTGTAGAGACATAATGACCACCCGGCCGGTGCTAGCCCAGTTCCTCAAGTACTCCACAAGGAAGAACGTGTCGAAAATATCCATCTCCTTGGTTGGCTGATCCAGGATCAAAATTGCCATGTCTTGGAGTAACTGACACGCGACGTTCAGTCTTCGCAGCTCTGATCTAGTTAGCCGGCAAATATTTGTATCTCTAACTTGTTCCAGACCTAATTCTTCTATGAGTAGATTTATCTGAAACAGGAATAATTAAGAATATTTGAAAAGTTTCTGGTTCTTTTAAGTTCTCGTATATCTATAAATTATGAAAATATCTGTCTCCAATCTAGCATAGAGAAAGTATTCACTAACTACCTTTCATTAGTAAAAATTTTTGACCATTAAGGCCCACACAAATTAACTAATATTAGATCACGCTCATACAATAATGACAAATGACGGCCCACTTGCAGCAAATTTACAAATCATGTAGTTAACCCATAGAAATATGACACTCCCAGATTCTGTAAAGAAAAAAGTTATGTTTATTTGAGGAATATCTCAAACTTACCCTATCCCTATCATCCATCTTGACTTGGTTATGGTTATTCCTTGGCCGTCTCAACGCGGCATGAAACCTTAAAGTGTGCTCCACGGTCATGGACGGGCACAAGTTCGTGTCATTTCTGACATACGCAGTCACCTTTCGCAAGGTCGACGACGCCACCGGTTGTCCATTAATCACAATGTCTCCAGATAATTTCTGAAAATCAAAGAGGACATTAGTTTTCATGTTCTGAATAGACAGACTGTTAAAATAATTAGTCGCAGTTTCACCACGAGACTAATTACAATGCGCGTTATTAAAATATTAGTACCATTACTTGTAATTTACAAATATTACGTGCTGTTATTACTTTTCATAAACTCGAGACAATTTAAAATATTGTTGCAATATAAAGAATCCGCTTTGTTATAAAGCGTTGGCTAAAGTTAAACACGGTCTCATTAAGATGCTGTCGCCATTGTTTGCTAAGAAGAAGACAGAGACAGCATTAGGGTTTAAACCAAGTTTAACTTATTTATGTATAAGTAGTCCACGTTTTGGTAATCTTGGAATAAGTCAAAATGAGTAAAAACAATAGCTGTTCAGTTAAATTTACCTTCCGAACTCCAGCTAAGACGTCTAAGAGACCAGTGGCTTCATGGTGTGAGGTAGCCAATACAGCTAGGATTTCCCCAGACTTCACTTCGAAACTTAATCCTGACACCAGTAACGTTGACTTGTTCTCCGGCGACGTGATTTCTAAACTGTTAACCTGCAAAAGAAGACTGGTAAATGGATGGTAAGCGATTAATTCCAAAACGCTGTTCTTAAAAACAAATTCTGTAAATAAAGTTTTGGATTACGAGTCACTAAACAGGTGATAGGATGTGATAGGAGCAGTAGGGAGGAGGTCAATAGCACAATACTGTAGCGTGTTCTATTTACGATCGTGTAAGTTAAGCAACTTTTGTAATAGCTGGTTTTAGGAAGGGTGACTAAAATTTACTATCTCAAAGTCATCCGAGTTTCGGAAGGTACGTTAAATCGTTGAATCTACAGTCCTTAGACCTTGTTCTACCTATTGCGTCCAAATGGAAGGCCTAAGCCAGCAGTGGAGCCATTAGGCAAGAAGCAGAAGGCGATCTTATTACCTATCATGTTTAAGAATATTTTTTGTCTTGAAAATATTTTTATCCCTTATAAACATGGGCAACTTACGTAATAATTCGGATAGATGTATGCGGAATGCGTGTACCCATCCAGATGATCGGCAGGCCGCAATGTGGAGTGCTTTCGCGAGTGGGACAGGGACACATGACTTCCGGCCTTCGACATCCGCCCGCCAAGGTGAGATGGCGACATCAAGTAACTAGAACAAAATATAACGTAACTTACATGAAGACCAAGAACACTTTCTTATTATAGTAGATAAACATATAAATTAACGAGGACAAGAACCTGCTGTGCGTAAGGCGGGAGCATGGAGCGGGTGTCTGCTTCGCGTGCGGTTTTCATGTCCTTTCATAGAAAAGCGCTGCGTGAGGCGAGTCTCCCATGCACTATGAAATTGTATGAAATAAACACGCGAAGCGGAAGCCCGCTCCGTGCTCCCGCTTAAAGCAGCGCAGACTCCAAGTATTTCCTACTCGTTTTGGGGCTTATAAAGGCCTGAGTATTTGATATGCCACAGGGTCTTTAAATATTTCGTGAAAAATGTGTCCCTTTAACTCTATCCAGTAAATAAACTACCAACATTTTATCAAAATCGTTCAGCTGTCCTTCCAGGGTTGAGTAACAAACTTTGACATTGTATCATTAAGTCTGATTATATAAGGGACTGCATTATATAGTCTTTGCTTTAATTAAGCCTATCATTCATAGGAATTTTGGATTCTATAACAATCATAATAAATGCAGAGACCGCAGGATCATAGTATATGGATATCCCTTGAGATGGCCTTTGTCCAGCAGTGGGCGACCATTGTAGATGATTATTGATGATTTATCTCAGTAGATTTCCCTTTGTTTTTACATGATTAAAGTACAACCTATGTACATACCTATGGTGATCGTTGTCGGGCACAAAGTCTGCGACGCTGTTCCGCCTGTTGTAGTGGCTGCGCGGCGGCCTGGCATCGATGCCCAGCAAGTTCGCTTCGCTGACGGACTTGTTCCGCGCGTTGGTCCACTGGCCTTCGCCTCGAATGCCGGCTTGTTGCATCGCGACTACGGGAATACCCGTGTTGTGCTGCAAAAACAAATCAGTTAAGGTAAGTACTTATCGTTACATAATATTATTTTCTTTATAAAATTAGCCTGATGCCTTTGATTTACAAGTCTACAGTTCAAGGTTAGATACTATGAGTTTCAAGAATTTTAGGTTAGACAGAAGCACTTAGGTTGATATTTTAATCAGAACATTCACGATCACATAATGGCACGGGCAAACTTTTGGTACAACCCAAAATAGAGACCAAGGTTCCATACTCTAATATAATTCAGATCATTCAGAAGTTTAAAATGTAGAAATCCAGAATTCACGAGAATCGTGCACTGGCAAATGGTTTGTGCGATGAAATACGATAATGTGGACAATAAATATTTTTTTTAGATTAATACTTATAGATTTACCTAAGTATAAAACATCAAACAGTCTAATAGCCGTACTTTTGGGTGGTATTGTGTTTCTATAGGTGCGGTGAGTAAAGTTTCAAGGGGTTGTCGATAGGGATTAGGGTGAACAACACATGGAGAGATACTGATTTTACGAGAAAATATGTATCTAAAAGGATTCACCTGATGTGAGGCATGTAGATGTTGCATCCGGAAGTCAGGATCGGAGCGGTACTTGCGGCTGTACTTGTAGTTGGTTGTGGTTTCGTTGTCAGAACTGTCGTAGCCGGACGAAGTCTCCCGTACACCTCGACTTTGCCGATGAATCCTGATGAACATTTCGTTTGTTGATAAATGCGTGAACATAATAATCACCTGGACTATCGATCACGGTATTAGGAGGTAAATACTTAATATTTAATGACGGAGCGAACAAACCATAGTTGTATAATTTTAAACAGGTGAACGGTGTCAAATACGTATTGTAATTTTAGAAAAACTTAACTTTTTTTTGAGTGTGTATGCTCTTGGTCGTAGATGACCTGTACAGTGTCATCGGGTTTTGGGAGGGCGAGATCCTAAGGGGACCTCAAGCCGAGAATTGGCGAGTGCCTCTAGAGGTATTCCATGCGAGTGGCGCCTCCCCACGAGGGGAGTCTCCTCTCCATCTGGAGCTACTAGACCACTCGAACTTGAGGGGGTCGGCTCAACTAGAGGGCGTCTTTGATGTGAGACTCCGACCTCGGCTCTAGTTATCCGTTGTCATGGGGCAAAAACGTTACGTTGAAAATTTGCGGCATAAACGGCTGTAAAGCTGTATATGTAACTTTTGATTGCTTTGGCTTAGAAGTTTGATTTTTTCACAGCTCCAAGGGACAGTAAACCTGAGTATTAGATATGAATTTCAGTTTGATACCTCCACGCGTTCCTGAGAAAACGGTGTTGACAGACGGACGGACAACAGAGTTATCCTATAAGGGTTCCGTATTTTCCTTTTGAGGTACGGGACCCTAAAAATTATAAATAATAATAATTAATGTTGGGCTATTACTTCTTATTATTATTACTTTTTAACCAGGCGAATATAATATAATTGTTGTATTATGTTTCTTCGATATATTTATAATTTACTAGCTGACCCAGCGAACTTCGTATCGCAAATACCTATATAAATAGGGGCAGGTGGTAGTAGAGAAAATTTAGGGTTACGTTACAATACCCAATAGCTTGATTTTAGGCGCGAAGGCGCATTATAGGTTTGGAAAACTACGATACAGGTGGACAACCATTATCACTTAAGGACATGAAAAATAGATAGTAGCCGATTCTAGGTATACTGTAACACATGTTTATGAATAAAAATTCTATTCTATTCTATTCTATTCTATTCTATTCTATTCTATTCTATTCTATTCTATTCTATTCTATTCTATTCTATTCTATTCTATTCTATTCTATTCTATTCTATTCTATTCTATTCTATTCTATTCTATTCTATTCTATTCTATTCTATTCTATTCTATTCTATTCTATTCTATTCTTTTCTATTCGTTTCTATTCTATTCTATTCTATTCTATTCTCAGACCCACGGAATATGCATATAAAATTTTAAAAAAATCGGTCAAGCCGTTTCGGAGGAGTATGGTAACTAACATTGTGACAGGAGAATTTTATATATAAGAACATATAAATATGTGGAAGAATCAACATATGACATGGGTGTCATGGGTTGATTCTTCCACATATTTTCTAAAGCCAGAAGTTATACTTCGTTTTACGCAAACATCATACCTGGGAGCCGGTTTCATGCCACTCCCTATTGAAGTTTTAGGCTTGGGTGTGCCTGAGCGCTGTGATCCGTTGTGGTTCGGTGGGAAAACTCGTGGCAGTCCGAACTTCAGATACGTGTACATGTTCGAGCCAAGCGCCGACCTACGGATACAAAACAAGAAATAGGTATACAAATTTCAGGGAAGCTAAGCATAGGGGATTCATCAGCATAAATAATACCCCTGTTCTCTACCTCTCTTATATTATATTTTGATCGCACTCAAAGCTTTAAGTTTGATTAAAGTTGTTGCTGTCATTGTCTTAGCGTTAATAATAGAAAAAAACATAACACTATAAATTGGAGTGCCCGAAGGAACCTGTTAAGCACACAAGATATACGAACCATAAAATCTTTCTACTTTGTAATCTTGACAACCTCCGTGGCCGATTGGTTTATAAGCCAGGTTTTATAGTGTCACCTACTCGAGAGATCCCGGTTTCGAATCCCAGATGTTTTTGTGATGAATACGAGCATTTGTACTCCAGTTATGGAAGTTTAATATGTATTTCTATATAAATATATTTATATGTACAGTATATGTATTCTATCCGTTACCCTAGTATCCCATTACACAAGCCTTACAGTGCTTACTTTGGGGCTAGTCTAATCGGTGTGTGTTGGAAATACTTTAAATTTATTTATTTAAAATCTCACTTACTTGGGTCCATATCTGGGGTGTGACAGTATGGACTGTACCGTGGTGTCTCGCAGCTGGAAGTTGCCGTAAGGTAGTGGACTCTTGTCCGTGCTACCTAAAGCACTGTCCGTGAAGTCAGAATTCAGGTTTTGCCTGCAACAAAGTGTTTTCTAAAGTATCATATCTACCGCCATGGTTATAGTTAAGACACGGTAAGGCTTTAGACGTGGCAAAAGAAATACCTACTTTTCTCCCTTCATAGAACCTTATGCCACATGAATAAAAACTTCCCAAATATTATTACATGCAAACGCAACGGTGACGAGCTGTCATTTTGAAAACGCAAACGAAGCGAACGACAAACAAACCAAACGGTTCGTGGTCGCCACATTTCTATTTATTTTCATGAACCGACGAAGGACTGCTGGTTTAGAGCGCCAAAGACAAGGAGAGGCCGCAACATTCAATAAGTGTCTATAATTAGTAATTGTGGGTGGCATATCGCAGACATTAAGACGCTGTAATTTACATACAAAACGATTCAAAAATTATTGTCATCAATAGGGTATTTGACAGTATTAAAAATAAAGTGCCAATTGTTGGCATCTGTGTTTAGAATGAATATTGGCAGGAGTTTTTACTATTTTTACAAAAAATTAAATATAAATTTACTAAAAATCCACGAAAAAGATAATAGTTTACTTATTTATTGTCACGTGACCCGAAACGCTTGGGATTGGCGGAGCCTAAAATGACGACACACGCAAGTAAACTTCCGGTTAAAGTGACATTACATAGTATCGTTTGACTTTAAATAACAGTCGTGTGACGTCACACACTAGTAAGACGCCATATTGTCCAGAGAAACGTTTTCGCGGCAACTTGAAAATGGAGTTTTTGATTTGGTTATTTTTACTGAAATACACAACAGAATGATCAATATCCACTTTTTACGGACTCCATAAACATTAGTCAATAACGTGAGATCGTTTTCTAAAACTTGTCAAATACCCTATTGTTTGACTCTTCCATAGGATTTGGACAATGCTGCTCACCTGTAGGGGTGACATATTGGGTTGTAATGGTATATTCCAGTTATAGATACTTGCATTTATAAAAGATGCTTGCAGATCCTCCAAAAGTGGGCAGCTATATGCCCCATTGGTCTTATATTACTGACTGAAGGTGTACTTAGAGATCCTGCTATGTAACAAGTTCATGTCATTTGGTTCGCAGCAATTTTCTGAAGCTTGATAACTTAACATAAAAGATGCACTGCATCACGGTACATATTTTGTTAAGGTTAGAGACATTGCTCCATGAGATCATGTTGTATTGCAATATCGTGTTGATGTCATCCTTTGATCTGCATCCAATTTCTGATGGGTGGTGAAAACCTTACATTACAAGACACTGGCGGATCATATTTTGTCAAGATTGTAGGCATTATTCTATGTGATCCATGTGGTTCTGTGACATCGTGACATCACGATGAGCTTTGGTGGTCGGGAACTTAACACAAGGAGACGCATCACGCACTGCATCACCTATATTTGTTAAAAGAGCTAACCAGGACCGGATTTAGAGGTGTGGGAGCCCTAGGGCAATGAAGGGGTGCAGGCCCGCTCAATCACCCCCGCCTCCTGACCCTTTCTTGTGGGTGGTTTTCTTGTGCGCCTGTGCTCCAGGCCCGCTTGCTCTGCCTCAAATCCGGCCCTGATTCCGACACAGTGACGTCATGGTTCTTACCTGTATATAGACCACGCGTGCAGGTCTTCCGAGTGCATGCCCCGCGGGTCGTGCATCAGCGGGTTGGAGGGCACCGAGTACCGCCGCTCCCCGCCGAGGCCCAGCGCCGACTGCGACATCCTGCCGGCTCACGTTGTCACGTCATGCGTCTGCGCAAACCACAGTCATGTAAATCAAAAGCGTTTTGCTTTGTTTCGCTGATGAATATCTAGGTAAATAGGGACTAATTTAATAATTATGATGTCGTCAATCGAGTTTAAAAAAGAGGTACATCCCATCATTACATAATCTTCCATTCAAGCAAGCGTAAGAAAACATAGAGGAATGCACCAGTTGCTTGCTGTTGATACGACGGGATAGATATATTCGGAAACTATTGTAACTGGCAACTTGTTGTCGGATTTGCCAAGTCAGATAAATGATTGGTCTTCCATTCGTCAATAATTTATCTAAGTGCCAAGATTTAAGAGACGAAGTAGTTGTTTCTGGACAAAAGCCTGCCAAATCAACAACGCCAAACGTGGCGTGTAGGTTAGGAGTGACATATTACAGGCAACGATATTAAATACACTAGACGATACGATTTAGTTGCTCTTGTAGTATACAAGAGGAACTAAATCGTGGCCGAAACCTGTCCAAAAGGTACATTGGACGATCCACGGAGCTCCGTAAGATAATCGCATAGTCATAAACAATATAAGGCATTATTTAAACATTGAAAGTCACCTTTAATGCATACTGTATAAGGTCTTTATTAAAACGCATGCGTCAAAGAGTTATGGCAGTTCGAAATGCAAGCTCGTAAAATTTCATGACTTTTTGCTAAATGCGGAAGAGTATAGACCTTAATCCGTTGATATAACTGATATTGATTAGATACCTGTCGAAAAAACTACACTTTTTGTACTATAAGTATTTTTTTCGCATTTATTCACGGAGCTATGCGACTTTTTAACGGTCCGTGCGTAAACAGTCAAACTTCTTGGTTCACATGAACCAAGAAGTGCTTGAGTGGTGTTTAAGCACTTCTTGATTGGGACACATTTTGAGCGCACTTGGTGTATCTAGGGTATTTAATATCGTTGATTACAGGATCTTCTCAAGCAACAACTTTGCTGCTCTTCTAGCTCCACATGGGATATAAACATTAACTAGGTACTGAGCATTCTATCCTGATGGGCCTGGGAGCTTAGCTAGTAGAATGTAGCAATTATTACAATAAGACCACTTGGGGTGCTCAACTTTGTTTATTTTTTAAACAGAGAAAATACATTCATGTATTATCATCTACTGCTTGTTTCTGTGCCTGAATTCTATCTGGAATGTTCGACATGAGACAAAAGATCCTCATATTCAAATCTTTATAACAATGACATTTACTTTTTATTATAACTGCCAGCCGTAGTCTTTACATAAGCAAAGAGTTTACACAAGCAAGGAGGCCGTAATGCTACGGGCGTTACAGTACCTATATACTAAAACACTAATATTAGGTAGACTAACATCGTATGCATCTAGATTCTAGACCCAGCGAACTCCGTACCGCCGTATAAATAGGGGCAGGTGGTAGAAGAAAAATTTAGGGTGTAGGTTTTAATACCACATTATAAAAAATAAATATTGTCCAAAAAATTTTAGGGGTATGTAACGTAGTGTTCTATCAATTTCCTGGGATAACATTCCTCCTAACCCATATGAGAACACTACGTTACAAAACCCAATAGTTTGAATTTTGGCGCGAAGGCGCATGGTAGGTTACAGAACACTACGTTACAGGTGGACAACCATTATCAATTAAGGATATGAAAAATAGATAGTAGCCGATTCTCAGACCCACGGAATATGCAAATAAAATTTCATAAAAATCGGTCAGGCCGTTTCGGAGGAGTATGGTAACCAACATTGTGACACGAGAATTTTATATATAAGATGTAATTTTGCTTGAGTATCATCGCTTACCTATTTGTGTCATCCCAGTACGATCAAGTCGTAATATTTCGTCTTCACTCGACACATGGTTAAGTGTCTAATTTGCGGAGACCTGTAACAATACAAATGAATTTCATCAGCAATTTTTCCTCCATTAATTCCATTACCCATGCTAGAATTTGAGGATTAAACATTGTTTAATCAATCCCATCAATTAACAAGGAGGAATTGATAATTTCTCGATCGTATGCTGGAAATGGCAACCAACAAGGAGCTTTTTATTTCGAATACGCTAAACATTTTAATTTTACCATTATTTTGCTACAATTATGAGATACCATAACTGTAAAACCTTAAATAAGCAATAGATGAGGCAGATGAAACTACAGACAAATAAAGCTGTGTTTGTCTGTAGTTTTACCTGTCTCATTCATGAAATTGCACATTTACAACTCTGACAACCTTGTAATGGCTTAGTAATATGTAATTCTTGACATTGCCTCATACACAAACATATATTCATGCCAATAGCTAGCGAATAGGTTATCTTTATGCCGTCTCCGCCTACTGGGGAGATTATAATTTTAATTTGACTCCCTATCCCGGGCAGCCCTTTATTCTGCCAGTGCTATGAGTAGACTTAAGGGTTGTCACCTTTTTTTGTCGAAATAAAGTACATTGGATATTAAATGTAGAAAAAAAGTACATTGAACCCAAAATAAAGTACTTTTTATTCCACTTTATTAGTAAGCTTAAAAATATATTTTACGTTGCTACTAGCAACTTTTGATAAATAATTTGCGGCTACTAAAAATCTGTAGTTCTTTTCCACAATGGAAAAGGTAAACAAAGGCATACAGCCACGAAAATGTTGTAGGAATTAGCTAAGGGCGACATATTCATACTTTCTGTCCGTTTTACGCAAAAATTCTTCATATCGACCTCCTTTTGTATATTTTATGTAAAATGAATCCCCGAGCAATCAAATCACATTAAATAAAGTATTTTCGCGTACTTTGTTGGCATAAAGTATAGAGTACAATTACCCAAAATAACGTACAATACTTTATAATAAAGTACCCGTACTTTAGCAATCCTACTTAAGGGGTAGACGAGGGTAAGGGGAAATAGTCCTATATAACTCCGCCACCCTACCAAATGGCAGGTTAAGCGCAACGCATTTTCTCTGGCAGCAAAATAGCGGTAGCTGTATCTTTTTAAATGTGCTATCTTATACGACCTTCACAATAATTAGATAGTGTATCAGCAGCCAAAAACATTGGGCATTGTCCCATTTGTCTAGCAGCTCGGATGTGGAACAGTGAGGTCGTTATATTGCATCACAATTCACACACCGGACGCAAATCCGACTGGACGAGTGGATGCCCGTGCGCTGCTGCGAATCGCGCCGCCCATCTCAATGCCCATTACGCAAAACCACTGTCACTGAGCATTTGTTTAATTCAATTTAGTGTTAACAGAGAGCTGTTGCTGTGAATGAGTATGAGCTTGATGAGTAATTAGCTTTTAAAAATGTTTGTTGGTTTTGGTGATTTGATAGCACAGTGCTGTTGGTCTGTGATCTAACGATAGTTAAACAACTTTGGAAAATAAAACTAGGTTTTCATGGGTTAATGCACGAAACTTTATTTATTTATGGACCTTTCGCAGCCTTTACAGGCTGCGTCGTAATTTTTGTCAAAAATTGAAACGTCAATAAATAAATAAAGTTTCGTGCATTAACTCGTGATAACCTAGTTTTATTTAATGAGTGATGTGCGTGAAAACCTAAGAAACAAATAACCTTGGAAAAGTTTACTACCCATCCTTTAAAGGTATAGTAATATAGAAGACACTTTCAGTCATGCATAGCTAATAATTATAATATGAATGACTACGAATGACCGTACGCAAATCACGTTGTAGGTACCTTAATCCTCTGAGGATAGCGATTGTAGAGAGTGAAAGGATAATTAGCCTAGGAGATAATAATACGGAGGCAGTAAAACGTTTTACCGCACGCTCCGTTATATGGCTCGTTCGAACAATGTATACAACCTCCGTAAATGCATTTTTTGAGCAAAATGTGTTGAAAAAAATCCTTTACCTTACAGAGGCATGCCAAAGGAGCTGTAAGCAATTTTTTTATTTCATTCGTGTAGGTAATAATTTCGGAAAAGTTTGTAATAATAAATTAATTTATTTGGAACATTTATGCATAGTGTTAGAAACTAAATTAACCTTATAAACTATGTTAGTAACAGAACAAATTAATTATGAAATAAAAACAAAAAAAAATATATAACGGTTTGGATGAAATTTTGTGTTTAGAATAAGGTTTTGGTTATAAGGCTCTACTAGTGAGACATTGCACAGAGTGTATTTAATAACATACTTAGATGCGTAAGTTGCTTCACGTAGATAACCTTAGTCACGGCTGCAACGCAACTGCTTATTGCTTTAAAATGCATACCTTAGCAGTCGGCACTATACTTAACTATTTCAATTGGATATTACTACCTACGAAGTTTAGCAACCTTGACTCCGAAGAAGACCGCTTTAATGAACATTACCTACTTATTAACAAGATGAAAAATCTTATAATTTTTATTTTTTAAGCATGTAACTGCTCTAAAGAAAATATAACTAGAAAAAAATGCACGCGGACCAGACAGCAGACGGGACTCAAACCCGCACCCTTCGCAATCCGGGCGAATGTACTGACGAAATTCTTCTAGCCATTCTTAATTTCTTCATTTCTTCGCATTGTAGGTAACCCACAATCGAGTCCCGTCTGCTGCCTGGTCCGCGTGGAACTTTTTCTAGTTATATTTTCTTAAGAAAAATCTTTATTCCCCTTATAAATAAACGAGGAATAAGCTTACGCCGTGTTTTGTTTATGTCACTCAAGTGCCATTTGTTATTAAATAGACGAAGACAAAACATGGAGTAGGTAACTAATCGAAGCTTAATCTTCATTTATTAATAAGGGGGTAAGGGTATAACTTGAAAATCTATAGTATAAAGAAAGCTGGATAAAATTCTGAAAGTTGGTTAATTATAATAATATATTTTTTTTAAAAGGAATCGAATACAAAAACTTACGCAATTCAAAAAAAAAAGTGTCTAGGGATTAAGTTATTTTCTAATAAATCCATGTACAATAACTTATTATCTACCCATAAGGGTAACAACAACAGAAGTGTCGTAGTTTTAGGTGGTTTTACCGTTAGCTAGCGCAGACCACGGACTTTTGTCCGCGGACATTTTTATCCGCCAAAATAGACCGCTTACAATTGCATCGAGTACACGACGGATTAAAAGTACCGTGTACAAAAGGTCCTTTCAGTAGTTTTAGCGTGAATAAGTAAAAAACATACACACTTTCACATTTATAATATATGGAGGATATGATTAAAATTAGAATTGAAATTCCATTGAAAAGCTATTGAATAATTCAATGCAACACGATAATTTATAAACAATATTTAAGGTGCGTTGCGTGCAAGGAGGTTTAAAGAGTGCTCCTAGACTGCTACAACACGGATTATATAATTGTTCTTGTTTTTTAAAAATCAAACGACTTTTCCGCGTAAATATTTTTAAGATATACTAGCAGTATGGGCGTAGAGTAGAGATTGTTCCTCCTAGGAGGTGACAGCGATTTTCTTAAGGGGGGGGGGGGGGGGGAAAGGCATATTTTCTATGGGTCAGAGAGACAACCGTCCTGTTGAGCTTACATTCAATCTAGTCATTACACACGCCTCCCCAAGCTACATGACCAGCAGCCTATATACCTACCCTATAGATATAGACTAATCTACTGTAACAATGGGGCTCAAGATAAAGTAGTTTTTCAGTCACCCATCCGTTATCTGAACACTGCGACAATTGGCGCCCTTTCAAAACAATTAGAAAAATTAAAAGTATTGTTCCAAGAACGTGTATTGACAAACCGCAGACCGGTTATGTGACTGTAATTGCGATCCGTAAGTATGTAGGTACTAGTTTTCTATCCTATTGTCTCAGCAGTCACTTGAAGACCATCACCTTAATATGACTACCGGTTGTGTATAATACCCATAGTGGCACCCGCCTCACCGGTTCCGAAGACATTGCATGTTGAAACAACGTTAATGAATATGGATGAACACAACTTTTTATCAGATCTGCCTGCCATTGAATAACTATTACGCGGCGTGTTAATGGTAATTGGAAAAGATTGTACTTAACTATTGTCTTAACGATAAAGTAGGATAGCGGTAATTAGGCGATTATGCTGTTTATATACCTGATGCTGGAACTCGAGTTTCATCGTCATCATCATCATCATCAACAGCCTATCTTAGGCCACTGCTGGACATAGGCCTCTCCAATTGCACGCCACTGAGATCGATCTTGGGCTCGAGTTAGATATTGAGAGTTAAAATATTGTTATTCATTCACGTTTTAAGAAAGCTGTTTAAACCAAGAGCTTCGCTCATGCAAAGTAATTAAAGTAGGTACCTATTTACTGATATTACCGCAGGGTTGACGTAGTACAAAATATTTAATATCTTTTTTTGTTAAAACGGTGTCAAACAAGCATATGGCCCCCAGGCCGCCGCCGCCGAAGGTTTTTAAATGCCTCGCGCTGTTTTTTTTTTCTTCTTTTGCATTGGTAATAACAATATTACAGAAAATGAGCGTGAGGCATTTGAAAACCTTCGGCGGTCAGATATAACCAAATGAATTCGTAAACAATAGCGATAGCCACAGCAATCTCGTTAGGCGATTGACCCCCTGGTGGTTAGCGGCCACCATAGCCAATCGACGTTTGCGATCCAAAAAAAATTCACTCGTGCTGTTGCCTACCCCGTGGAGCGATTAATAAAATCAAACCTCAACGTCTTCAAATTTAACATAGGCTGATTCCAATTAATCTAAGCCTGGATTAAATTAAGACAGTTTTGTTATATATTGTGCTAGCCATGTTCTAGCTTACAATAATTTCTGAAAGCACATCCGAATATTCTTTTCGATTTCAGCCCATCACACTAATATTATAAAGGCGAAAGTTTGTGAGTAAGTGAGAAACATACACACTCACGTGTGTATGTTTGTTACTTCTTC